CCGCCTTTCCAACCTGATCGCCAACGAAAGTATGCTTTCACTGCGAAACTAAGGAAAAACTCCGAAACTGACTTCATAGATTACGAAGCAAGGGACCTTTAACATTCGTGGTTCGGCGCTCGATCTTCATCAAGGAGACCAACAGAGTCAGACCTTTCGAGGAGGCCGAATAGGCCGAGAATCCTGAAGCGCCCGATGACTCCAGTGCAAACGAAGTTTGAGCTATGGAAGTTTTAAGAGATGGAAGATCGAAGAGAGAGGAAGACCAAGGGCCGAAAGCACTGAGAGAAACTAGGCAGCAAAAAGTTTGAGCTAGGAAAGACTGAGTGGCGAAATTCCGGAGTTCGAGAGTTCGAAACGAATATTTCCACGAGAGGGAGAGAGAGGGAGAGAGCGAGAGAGAGAGGGAGGAAGGCAGAGAATCTTCCCATAAACTTCATGGAAAGAAAAGGAAGGATGCAAACGAGGTTACTCTCTCAGGCAGCGTCGAACGAGACGTCGGCGATCTCAGGCTCGTCCACTGCAGCGTCGTAGCCACTTGGCGGCTCTTTTGGTCTCCAAGTTGGTCCAGCCGCGCTAGGAATCGGCGCTGGTCACGTGCGAATGTTGGCAGCGCCCGAGCGAGCGATTCGTTCGACCAGGCGAAGTGGCGGCGATCGCGGGGAAACTGGTAAAAATCGCCGCTTTCGACGAGAGTACTGAAAGATTCAAGCACGAACTGCCGGTGGTTCGAGATTAGGCACGTACAGTAAAATCCGGACATCCGGATCGTAAGCGGTTTCACTTTGTAATTCCCCATTAAATATTCACTCATTTGTAGACGCACACTCGCAGGTTGACTACGCGGGAGATTGGCTCAATCCGAATCGACGAATAATCAATCAGCTGATTAGCTCGCCTTGTCAGTCGAGGTGACGCGTCGATACGACAGAATTCAACTGGTTTTATGTACTGGTAGAACAATTGCAAATTGAATCGGGCAGGAATCTCCATCCCAGATGCGTCGTGAACGAGCCAAGTCCGCAGTACGCGTTGAGTCTTCTGAGAGAAAGGTTTCGGGATTTCCTTAGCGAAGACACAGAGAGCGAGGCAGGGTCGGCGGGGCGGAGAGGGGCCGAGAGGGGCGCGGAGGGAAGGAAGAACTCAAATAGCGGGATAAGTGCAGTCGCGTCGAGGGCACAAAGCCCGCGAGCGGGGAAGGGGGCGTCGTGCGACTCATTTTCGGAAGTGCTCCATTTTTTATTATTTACCACGTTGGATTTTTCTGAATGCAGTCCTTCGCGGAGAATTTGAAAAAGGTTCGGGATAGGGGGAGGCTTTTGACGTGTCGTAGAGAATGTAAGGACTCGAGAGAGAAAGGAGTAGCAGAGGACTCTTCAAAGAGGATTCTCCGGCGCGCACCCTCTTCCCTCTTCCCTCTTCCCTGCGATCCTCGGAAAATGGCTGCCCACTCCGGCGCTCCGGTCAAAGAGAGCGAGAACTCTGCCACTCTTCGCTAATGTCTCTCGAACCACTGGAGCCGGAATCTCCGTGACCTCCGGCCCTTCGTCGGCATCCTCCAAAGAAAACCCCCCTCGGAAATCTCGGCGCTGGCGCCAGCGGAGCTTCGTCCATCATCGTCCCGAACAAAACGCACCTTCGCATTGGCTCGTTCGCTCGTTCGCTCGTTCGCTCGTTCACCGGACGATGGACGCCTCCATTGATTCCTACTTTTCGTTTCATCGGACAAACGATTAATTACCGGCGCCATTCAGCTGCAAATGTGGGAGCGACGCGGAGGATGTATGGGGAAAGTTCCTTCAATGTTCGGATGCTGCGCGCACCTAGAGAACCGGAACGTCCCGTGCTGCGTCTGTCAACCGGTGGACGGTCTCAACGAGCTGGGAGAGTTCCGAGATTTATTCCGGGAGGAGCCCAGGGAAGCTGCGAGTCCTCGATGCAGCAGGATACTCGCGACTATACGGCCCCAACCTTTTAGCGAAGGAGGCGATAATCGTCATTACACCGAGTATATGGAAACTCGTTCCGCTCTATAATTCGAAAAGCCAATTAACGCGAACTTCACCTCCCGCGTCCATTGCATCCCCTGCATCCCCTGCATCCCCTGCATCCCCTGCATCTCGTACGTGTCCTCCGGAACCACCGAAATTACCCATCTCCACCTTCAGTCTATTCAGTCTGACACAATGAGCCTCTCTAAGGTAAGTGTGAGACCGCAATAACTACAAACTAAAATGATTTCGTAGGAAAGACTCCTATACCTTGTAGAATAACTTTGGAACAACAGTCCAAGTGTGTAGATAACGTAGATACACGTATAGCCGGCGCACTGGGACACTAATGCATGTTAAATGCATCTACGTGTTACTGAGAGCCACATGAGCCGGAGGAAGACAGGCCGAAACAATTAATCGAGCCAGCTCTAACATTTGATAGACCTTGTAATTAGTATTCGAGGGATGGTCTCTACTCGAGAGCGCCTGCCGGTTCCCTCTCGCTCTGCAAAGGGCCGTTTTTCCTCAGCTAGGAAAGAAAAAGGACACGGAAGAAGTTCGCTTTAAGAGGGGTCGAGGCGCACGGAAGAACGAAAGGAGAGAAGCAGAATCATGGAGAAAGAAACAGAGGAACAGCCTTTCACATAGCAGGCACGATGTATCTATTTTTATTCAAATCGAACTTTGCTGGGAAACGTAAATCTTTTAAAATTAACCGCAAGCGCAGAGGAATCGATTCTAGATGCACTGGTAGTTCAGTTGATGGATGGATTGGTATACTATGCCAACTATCGATAGGTAACTTCGATAATTATGGAAGAGGTCGCAAACTGGAGAGGTAATAAGGGAATGCCATGCTGGAACGGTGCAGAGTCCTCAGTCTCTCTCAGAGTCGGGAGTGAGGGTCCTGCCTCCTGCCTCCTGCCTCCTGCCTCCTGCCTCCTGTCTCCTGTCTCCTGCCGCCGGCCGCCCGAGTCAGTCGAGAAACTCAGAAGCTAATTGTCAAACTAAAGTAAGAATCATCGACGAAGCCCTCCAGGCTGAACTAGGTGCAAGTGGCGCGTACGGCGGGTCTCGCTGCGACGCAGAGGCGTCACCCACGTTCAACTACAAAGAAAGACTTCAAGAATTCAAGTACCGCAGGCTACGTTTTCAAGGGTGGAAAGGCTTTGTAGCTCGACACCTGCAGATTTTGTAAAAAAAAATACGGGAAAATAAAAGGAAGAATTTTTAATTAAAAGCTAACGATGCTATGCTTGCTCAGAGCGATGGCTCCGGTCAGCTTGTACCGTGAACGCGAGATTGGGCGCGCGCGGAGGGTCTGAAGCGCCCCGGCTCAATGTTTTTCAGGTGAAAGACAAAAAAACGCGCGGGCATTCCCGGGTTAACGAGGTTACGCAACAAATACACAAGATGACGCAGGGAGCAAGAGAGACGAGAATACCTCTGATCCAGTCGACTATCTGGCGCTAGGGAAACGGACGTCCGAACACGTCACCATTCCGGAGCCCCGTGAATCCGCTCGTAATTGGACACCTTCGCCCCCC